TGGTTTGTTCTAGAGCAGTGACCCCTAGGGTTGAACAACCCTTTCATGGGGTCACCTATCAGATATTTCCATTGGGTCACCTATCAGATATTCCCATTAGGATTCATAATAGTAGCAAAATTACAGTTATGAAGTAGCAACAAAATAATTTTATGATTGGAGTCACCACAACATGAGGAACTGTATTAAAGCATTAGGAAGGTTGAGAACCACTGTTCTAGAGGATTAGAATCACATCTTGTAAATACTCATAGAATGGCTGAATAGGCCTTGGAATGTCCAGGGAGAGCTGGGCATGTAGCTCAGTTGGTAGAATGCTCCCCTAGCATGCATGAAGCAGATCCCAGGTGTGCCTGTAATCCCAGTACTCAGAGGCAGAGGCAGGAAGATCAAGAGCTCAAAGTTATCCTTGGCTACATAGCAAAGTTCAAGACCAGCTTGAGCACATGCAACTAAAACAAAACAAAATGAAAATGTCAAGGGAGAAACCATCCTGGGGGAGCAATGGTAAAGTAGCATGCCCCTGCCCTCCTGTTCCTCAATACTCTAGAGTTGCCTAGATTAGAATAGATGGAAACTAAACCCTGTCCACCTTGACTTACTGGGCCCTAGGGGTCAATGGGCAGCCTGTTCCATCCTACATAGAAGACCCTCCTCATATGTCCAATGTTACTTACTCAGAGTATGCTTATTCCCACCTTCCTACCAGCTCTCTCCCTTCCCCCCAGCATGCACAAAGGGAGAGATGCTCTCTGCTTCCTCCCACTTGCCATCTGTGCTTCGCCTACCCCTTGAGATCCACATCAAACACCACCACCGCCTTCTCCCCTCCTAAGAAACTTTCCAGGTCTCCCCAGCCCATAGAGAACATTCCTCACACCAAGGCCTTCCCTCCTTCCCCTCTGTCCTCTGGACTAGTCATGAACTGCCTGGTGGCTGAGCTGACTTTCCTAAATCCCCTACTGCCCTTGTTTATACCGTGTGTCTGGCTTTCCTGGCACTGTAAACTTTCTGGGAAGAGCTGCCAAACCTGATGAATTCCAATGTCCCAATAGCACAGGGAACAGACACACAGTAGGTATTCTACACGCTTCTCTGTTCACTTCCAGGTATAAGCAAGCCACCTTCTCAACAACCTCTCCCTGGACTGGCCCCTCCCACACCCTCCATCCATCTCCCCCACCCCTGACTGCTGCTTGCTTATCTGCACACACAGCTGTGGACCTGTGTCTTCAAAGGCTCCTAGCTAGGGCCCACCAAATGGTTTGCTAAGTACCACAGGTCTGGAAAAGTTAAGAGTTTGGTTCCTTCTGGCAGACCAGGGGTTCAGAGTGCAATTCCCTCAGACACACGAGCCTAACAGAGGAATCACCAGGGTGGAGGTGGTGGTGACTCACAGCAGAAACCTGCACTGGAGCCTTAGCTTGCTAAGAAGCAAGCTCTCAGCAAACCCATGCTACAAGGAACAGTGGAAGCTCCAGTGACTTTTTCTTCTTTCTTTTTTTTTTTTTCTTTTTCAGACATGATATCACATTGTAGCCCAGGCTAGGCTGACACTTACTCTGTAGCACAAGCTAGCCTTGAACTCCCAGGGCTCCTCCTATTTCAGTCCCTCTGAGTGCTGGGGTTATAGATGTGAGCCACCAAACTCTGCTTTCCAGTGCTGTCCTGCAGGGAGACTAGTCAGAGTCAGGAGGGATTAAGGAGGCCATGTCTCAAAGATGCTCTGTGTGAGGGGTGCTTGGGCTGCACACTGGAGGACCAAATGCTCTTTCCACCTTCCTCTGCAAGGGCAGAAGGCTGGAGTGACTGCTGTACACCTGAGCAGCTAAGGCCCAGGTGAGCGGAAATCAACAGAGGCCTGACTCAGACTTGGAAGCCACACACTTTCCACACGGCCTCACCAACTCCAATTAGATAATTACGTACCCAGATTACCTGAGACTTTTGGGGGAGGAAGAATAGGAAATATACTCACTGAATTCTCAACCTCAAAACCCTGCTAGCCCTCCCAAAACATTTTCCCTTCTCTTGGTCCCTGGCTAATGTGCCAATCAAACAGGTAAGCCATTTGGGGCTGCCTCCTGTCAATGCTCTTCATGCATTTGCAAGTCGAAATCTGAGTCCACTCCCTTACATAACTGACAGCCAACTCCACACACTCCTGTGGCCACTTTAACCTTGTATGAGATGGACTTGCATTACGGCAGGGGGGAAATAATCTTCATGTGGAAAACCTGTGAGACACAGAGACCTCAAGTGATAGGACTGAGGCGAGAGGCTGCCTCAGGGTGGAAGCCTCAAGCCAACTGCCAGCATGAATGCAGCTGGTCCCGGAAAGCTGCTGGTCCTGATGGGTGGGTGGACCCCAGTGGCTATTGACCAGAGCTGCCTGGCCTCTCTGAGACCTTCATCTTCCAGAAGAGGGAGGCAGCTTCCATGGTAACAGGACTAGCCTAATTCCCTAGTTCCCACAGCAACGGCAGAGCCAGCTAGTGACTAGGACACAGGAAATGTGGAGGAAAAACAACCATTTCCTGTGAAGTTTGTGAGCTACAGAAGGGGAAGTTGGTACACAGGATCTGAGGATAACAGACCTTCCTAACAGCTGGGGGGGAAAAAGGGCTCCTAGACCTGGCTGAATTCCAGCCTCCAGACTGAGAAGAAGGAGAGAGAGAGGCAGACACAAGAACCTCCCCTAAGGTGACATGGGTCACTCAGATGAGATGGGAGCTTGGTTTAGGCTTATGTGTTTTTCTTATTGTTGGTTATTGTTTTTAGTTTTTCACTGTTGGAGCCTTGAGCATGCTAGGGAAACACTCTACTACTGATCTATATCCCAAGTCCTATTTTGTTTTTAAAGGATGTCTAAACAGTTTTAATGAGTTCAAGTCTTCCAGGCCAAAAAAGCTTTAGCCTAGAGCGCTGCACACATCTGGAGAGGAGATGCTTAATGGCTTAGTGGCTTTTGTATCTGAGAGGCAGCACCAGATCTGAAAGTGGTCTTGGAGCCCTGTGGGAACTTGAGGCATATGATGTCAGAGCAGGTAGACACCTGCAACAGTCAGGTCTCATCTGGTCACCAGTAGGCATCTTGTCACAGGTCAGAGAAGGGAAGGGATGGGACAAATAGGGCAACTGGAATCTGTGTTTGCAAAGCAAGCTGACTAAAGTCTGGGGTCCTCCAAGGGGTGGTCTCTAGCATCGCTCCAGAGGTTCTATGAGAACCTTGTGTACTGGTGACCTAGGTGCCATGGTTACTACATGCACACCTGAAATGATCCTCAGAACAAGTCAGCATTTAAGAGCTGGATGCATGATCGCACCCCAGCACTCAGGACTTTGAGTTCAAAACAGACATATCAGGACCCTGTCTCAAGTCTCAAGACAAACAAGACAAAGTCCAAATTTAAACAGTGAGATGGCTCATATGGTAAAGGCAACTGCTATCATGACTGACAACCTGGATTCGATCCTTGGGACTCAATAAGAGAGAGGACAAACTCTTGCAGGTTGTCATCCTCTGACCTCCACGTGTGGTAGGCACTCTCACCCACATCCACACATATGCACAGATAAATAAATAAAACATAACCTAAAAAAAATGACCAGCATGACTGTTCAATTCACAATCAAGACAATCTTTTACAGACATGCCCACAACCTGATAAAGACAATGACTCAACTGAGAGTTTTTTCAGGTGACTCTAGGCTGTGTCAGGGTGACAGTTAATGCTAACCAGGGCAGGTCCAAATGAGAAGCTGAAGAGCTGGATCCTGAGCATGAAGAAGATTCAGAAATACTGTAACCAATTTTATTCTCTTTTTGTATGCACACAAGAGGAATATGAAATTAGCGAAGCATGGTGATGCATGCCTCAGTGTGCAGGAGGTGGGAGGGTCAGGGCCAGTCTAGTCTACATAGCAAATGAGTTTGAGGAGTTTTTATTACAGAGACTTTGAGTTCCAGGACAGCCTGGACTACAGAAAGAGATTCTTATTCTCAAAAAACTAAACAAGCAAAACTTGGTACCAATATAAAAACATTTGTCTAATGCCTAATAGAGTAATAAATATTTAAATGACAATGAATGGAATAAATGAAGTACCCAGTGGAATCAGAACTCTCCTCACCCCATAGAGGAACTCTGACCCAGAAAAACAACCCCACTGGTATATGGGGTGCTGGTGGCTGGCTGTGCTGAGCCCACTGTCCTATTTAACCTTCACATGCATCCTGCAAAGTAAATAATGTCACTAAACCTGACAGAAAATCCAATTCTGACTGTGACAACCTGCCTCCAATAGACAGTACATCAGAGGCCTTGAACTGCAGATCAAATGTGCCGAGTGATCAATTGGTCATGAAAGAGACAACCCAGGCTCCCATTGGGACAACTGATACAGGAAAGAAAAGGGTGCTGGGAGGGAGGAGGGGAAAGAAATGGAGAGGAAGGAGAAGAGGAAGGGAGGTAGAGAGGGAGGAAGGGAGGAAGAAAAGAGAAGGGAAGGAAGGAGAGGAGGGGAGAGGAGAGGAGAGGAGAGGAGAGGATTCCCTACCATACCCCAGCCTCAGCTCCCATGAGTACCCAACTCTTGCCACTTGCAGCTTTCAAGAGCAATTTATTCCATGACATAAACCCAGGGTGTCCCCAAAACATACGAGAGAGAGAGAGAGAGAGAGAGAGAGAGAGAGAGAGAGAGGTGCCTGCAGCCCTGTTCAAATGTCAAAACTGTAAGCATAGTGAGTTGCCATGCCACCACCCACCAAGTTAATACCAGCAGCAGGTGGATGTTGAGCACAGCCTTCACCTCCCTTTCCTGGCCTGGACAGAGGAAAGGGAGACTCATAAAGCTAGAGAGTCAGCAACATTGCAGATGGGATGCTGGGCTCTGCAAGCTTCTGACCCCTACAGAAACCATTCTTCCACAGGCTACTCCTTTGGTGGAGGACATCCCCGGGCTGACACCCCCCGCCCAGCTTTGCTGCTTTGACTTACCTCAGGCAAGTATGAACCTCCTGATCTGTTTCTGGGGTCAGTACCCTCTATGTCTGCATTTCCTCCCCTAAAAATGACCTGGAAGAAGGGAAGAAATGGTGTAAGGGGGCAGTTGCTTTTTGCTCTACAGAATACAAGCTGCAGGAAAGGATGGATCAACCGGATTCTACAACCCTAGCTGGGAAGTTTCATAATGGGTCACTGTACTTAGAAAGATGGGTTGCATATACAGACCCTGTAACCACAAAGGAGGCTACCAGACAAAACCATGGGTGTGGAGGAAGCCTTGGAGCCTTTCCTTAACTGCTCCATTTCATTTTCTAGGGTAACTCTCAATGTAGACAACAGTTTAGTATTTAGTTAGCATTCAGTATTTGGAGGGTGGTGCAGGCCTAAATTTACCTGGCCCAAGGATTAGGTGCCCTAGTCCTCTCTGGCGGCTTCCTCCTGCCTCTTGACTTTGTTCACATCCTGCACATGTCATTGGTTCACATCTCTGTGTGCTCTTGCCTCTGCTCATTTCTATCGAGGGTACCCTACTCATCTTCCAAGGAGTTTTGCAACCAACAAGCTGGCCCTACCCCTTCCACCTCCAAGAAGTCCTCTGGCTGGCACCCACTGTGTGCATTCCATACCCAATCCTGGTGTGCAGGCAGCAGCAAGAAGCTGGTCCTACATACCTCACTCTGGGCAATAGAAGAGCAATTGGATCTGGGCCCCAGCACAACAGCTGCACACTGCTGGGCACTAACAAGCCTGAGGCTACAGCTGTTGGTAGCTACCCCAGCACCTATTTATAGTCTTTTCTGCAGCCCTCCTCCACGACTACCAACTGGCTCATGTTGGTGCATTCACTCAAAGTTCAGCTGATAGTCAATCTGAGACAAATCTCTACAGACAGACAGTTGCCCTTCCCAGTTAAAATCTGGGTTTGTGAGCTGGGTGTAGAGGCACATGCCCTTAATTCCAGTACTTGGGAGGCAGAGGCAGGTGGGTCTCTGTAAATTTGAGACCATCCTGGTCTATATAGTGAGTTCCAGGACAGCCATGGCAACATAGGTGAGACCCTGTCTTAGAAACAAACAAACAAAAAAACCTGAGTTTGTATCAGAGGCCAAGAAAACAAAGGTAGGATTTCAATCCTCAAGGCTCTGGAGATGTGTTCTGATATGGAAAGATATCCAGACCAAGGCTAGCCCACCCTACACAATACTGTCCTTCCTTAAGGAAGTCTGGAGCTGAGTGAATGTCTGAAATCCCAGTAGTCAGGAGGTTTAGGCAGGAGGATTACAAGCTAAGGCCAACTGTGCTACATAAGACCCTACCTCAAAAAATAAAAACACATTGTCTGAGCCCCTTATTCGACACACATAAACTCAAGGCAGGAGTGAGAAATTTATGATCATGATATCAGAGGGCCCTTCCAACTTGACATCCCATGGCTCTATGACTCACACTCTTTCTTCCTCCTCTGACACAGAGGTCAGAATCACCTAAAGCCACCCAGATCCCCTTCCCTGAACACCCCAAGCCCCACCCAGTCCAAAGGGAAAGATAAAACTCCCAAGCTGCCAGCTAATCTCATGGCAGCCTCTGAGTGCCTGCTCAATCCTGCAGGTGGAAAGAGGGGGTGTGAGGGAGGGTTGCTGTTGCTATGGATACAAAAATGCTCCTCTCATTCACACCATCTGTCTGAGCCAGGATAGAAGACAAGTTGCCCTCACCCCCTGGCTTACCTATCTAAGTGGTTACAACTGCATGCTAAATTTAAATGCTGCTCTGAAATCAGGACATATAAGGTCTCTCTGCCAGCATCTGAGAGAGGGTTCATAATGGGTAGAGCTGGAGAGCAATGACAAATTAGACTTGGAGGCAATCTAAACCGTATTGTGCAGCCACCACAATTAGAGAGCTAAAAAAAAAAAAAAAAAAAAAAAAAAAAAAAAAAAAAAAAAAAGACAGCTCCTCTCTCTGGCTGAAGATGAAGTTTCAGCAATAAACAGACATCTGCTAGGAGCTTGTGAAGAGAGGCAGCATAAACACCCCAGGGAGCAACCATAAACAGGGAGCCCTCTCCAGGAAGCTACTGCTCACCAGGGAAGAAGGGACGGAAGTGAGGAGGAGGCTGTGGGGAGGAGGTGAAGGGCAGAGAAGAATGGGGTGCTGGCAGGCTGGGTGGTATGGAAGTGGGTACCACAAGAGCAGGGAGATGGGTGGGGGAATAGACAGGCAGACAGGAGCAGCTCAGCTTGCAGAAAAAATGGAGAACTGGCTGACTCCTCCAGGCCACCAGAGCTTGAGACTCAGAGTGCACTTCCAGAGGATCCCATTTGTGATGTTCATTATGGAAACCGACCACTTTTTATAAGTAGAAAAAAAAGAACATACTGGAATGAATGCCTATGCAGGGCCTTTTGTAAATATTTTAATTTCATCTCCATATCTGTCTCTCAAGATGAATGTGATCACCTCTTCTTTGTAGGCTATATGGTAAGGTTCACACACGTTCAAGGCCATATGGCTAGGATTCAAACCCATGTCTGTCTTAGCATGCTTCATTTGTCTGCTTGCTTGCTTTTGCTTCTATCACTTGCCTGGAGAACTTGCTCCTTCTGTTGCTCTTCGGGGCCTGGATGCTCTGAGTCCCCCAGATCTAACACAAAGGAATTCTGACAGGGAGAGGTGGTAAAACACATGCAGGAGGCAACAGGTAAGTTTTGGCCAACTCATTGCTCAGTCTCTGGGACCCTGTGGATCCTGTTTCTCCCACTCTGGTGTGCCTAACAGACAGAAGGAGAAGCAGAGTGTGGAATGGGTGGGAGAATGTGCCCACAGCATGTCTACAGGAGGCTTGGAACAGCAACCACCTTAATGAGAAGAGCCCTTAATGGAGGCTGAGAGAAGGAGGCTTGTGCTTTCACTAGCTTCCTTTGTACGGATGAGTGTTTTACCATTCATTGATGTGTGCATGTGTCGTGGTTCTCTGCAGCTGTATGCTTGTGATGGTGACTATCACACATCATTGTGTGTGGAGGTGAGAACCACGCATCTATACATGTGTGTTGAGAGAAGTACCATGCGTGTGTGTGTGTGTGTGTGTGTGTGTGTGTGTGTGTGTGTGTGTGTGTGTGTGTGTGTGTGTGGGGAGAATAGTGTGTGTGTGTGTGTAGGGAGAATACTATGTATCCATGTGTGTGAATGGGTGAATATCTATGTGTACAGGTAAGCACTATGCATCCATGTGCCTGTGTTAGAACTAATACATACATGTGTGCCCTCCATCCAACCTGTTTGACTGTCAGATACCCACTTCCTTCAGGAAGAAACTCCTGTCTATTACCATCTTTGTATTCAAGTGTTAAAGATTCAGATGTCCCCACACATGGACCTATCAACTCCATGAATACTGCACAGGGCACCTTAGGATGAGTAGGCACCCAATACAGGAGTCAGCAGCCAGATTCCCCACACACCTGGGTCTACTCTACTCCAGGAAGAGGCTCTCTTTAGTGACTAAAAGATCTGAGTGACTCTTCCACATGTACACATGTACCTCACCACCTGCCCCTGCTCCTCATGTTCCTGGCTCCCAGACCTACATCCAGCTGTGCTCACATGAGTGGCCAGGGCCAACATTCAGAGGCTGTGAGCAAAGGGGCGCCTCTGCAGCTCAGCACACTGATATGAAGATGGCAAGGCCAGGACAGAGTGTTCTAGATGCTCACTCCTGTTTTTGGCATGTGCTGAGCTCCTGGACTGGGTGTGTCTGAAACTTGGGCCTGAGAATGTTCCATTAACCTGTGGCTCTAACAGTGCAGAGGCCAAGCAACAACTGTCTGGCTCCTTGCTGCCTGGCTTCTGCAGCCAGCCAAAAGAACATGAGCTCTGGATATACCTTGTTGCCTAGGAAAGGGCTGCTGTGACATTTGTATACCCTGAAAGAAATGTAGGCAAGCTATTGGAGGAATGCTAGAGCCACAAGGTACCCAGGCAGCCACACAGAGATGGAGATTCGGGGAGGAAGGAACACAGCCCTGTGTAGAAGCATTAATCCACATAGAGAGCACACTAAGAACCTTGGGCTGTAGCTCCATTGGGAATGCGCTTGCCCCTTCACAGAAAAATCCCTGAGTGTGAATCCCAGCACTGTATAAAATGGCTATGGTGCATACCTATAATCCCAACACTCAGGGATTATATAGAGGCAGGAGAATCATAAACTCAAGGTCATTCTCACATACATAATGAATTTGAGGTCAGCCTGGGCATGAAACCTCGTCTTTAAAATAAAAAAAAAAGTTTGGACTGGTAGCAAGGGCCTTTAATCTCAGTACTTGGCAGAGGCAGGCAGATGTCTGTGAATGAGTTCATCCTGGTCTATATAGTTTCAGGTCAGACAGGGCTACATAATGAGACCTGTAAAAAACAAACAAGCAAAAAAAACAAAAACAAAAAACCTAAAACCTGCAACATAGCAAACATGGTATTAACTATGTAGACACAGTGGCTTGCATACTCACTGAGCCATGGAATCTCTTCCCATGACTACAGCAATGCTCAGATGTGCACACAGGGACAGAGCAAGAGGATGGAAGAAATCAGACCACATCTGGCACCGGGTACCACAAAAAGCTGTGGGTTGTGTACTTGGAGCACAGGGATGATGATGATTCTTCAACATCTGACAGAGAAGGGAGCATCCCAAAATCAAAATCATGGCAGCTGCAACCTTGCAGATGCAGTTTATGACCAGAGGAGCTCTGTCACCATAACTCCTTCCAGCTTTAACATTGGCTCAATTCTTTAGGGGCACCTTATCATCAGGGACCAGCCATGTGTTCTATCTGGGACAGGTTCTCAGAAGAAAAGAAAAGCTAGTGTAGGGAGGGTGGGGATACCCTAGATTTGGGTGTACAGGTGTTTGTCCTTCAAGATTTTCCCGAGGCATTGTGGGACAGTAGAGGCTGCAGCTTGGACCTGCCTGCTCTTCCACCATCTCTGGTGGCTCAGCCTCCAGAATAACAAAATGAATCTAATATACAAACAATATTATGATCTAAGCAAATTTCAAAATCCCAGTAATTCAAAGGTATTATCAATACACATAG